TTTACAGGAGGGAGAGGAGGTGGAAGGTTTATTTGGAAGTCTGACATGTTCCAAACTTCCATTTCCTGCCCTTCATAGAACTACTCAGGGCCAAAAATGTTGTAATATGCTACCACCTCAGGAGCACAGCCTCCCATATTTTTAAGGTCTATGTACTGTTAGAGTCAATACAGAGACTTCAAGGCAACCACGGAAAGTAAATAAAAAAAATAAACAAAGGTTCCACAACCAGCTTCGAAACATCTCAATTAATTGGCTAACTAAGGCACTAACCTGCTTACTAGTAAGTATCTCGTCTGCTGAAATATCTCTAGTGACTAAGGCCCCTATGTAGTCATTACAGAGAATTAGAAACTGCAGGGTGACTTCCAAATTACTAAGCTAGTACCCTTCTAAATCTCTGCTGCTGCTGCAGTAACCCTTGGGCAACTACAATAGCTGTGTGTGCCCACAGGAAGCTAGGGAATTTAGACTGTAGAGAGCAGGTGAGTTATGGGGCCAGAATGAAAAAATAAGCAAAATAGACTGTGAATCTTCAGCTCACCAAATGGGAACCAGAAACCAGGACATGCTGGAAGGAAGCCCCTTTCCAGTCCTGTTCATGTGTGTGAGCATGGCTGAGAAATGCAGCCTTCACACTGGCCATGCAGTTTGAGTTAATTGTATTTTTTGCTTTTAACTCTTAACTCCAAATTAGGTTGAGCTAAAAGAGGAAAAAAAGCCCAACAAATTAAAAGCACAAAGTCTACCAAACAGAAAGCACTGTGTCCACCAAATACAGCTGTAGAATTCCCCCAAAATCAATGTGAATGTGTCTCTAGAGCAATAGAGAAGGTAATTTTATCCAGGATGCTCTTCTTCTGTTTGCCTGAAAGCAGTTCAGCATATGATGCTCTAAGCCATATTCCTCCACTAAGAAACAAGGTACAGAAGCCCTGCTACCACCCAGATGATGGGAACTTCATAAGGAAATCAGAAACTAAACAAATAAATGAAAAGCAAACAAACATCTCTTAAGTGGATAAGTAGGACATGCTGCTAGTGGGACGGAATACAAGTAGGAAATTACCTTGGCTTAGCTAACTTTGGCTGCAAATTGTTAAGTGTTCATAAGGGGCAGAAAGAAATAAACATTTTTAAATTGGCGCTTGAGACTAATGTTTATAGATTTTTTTACCTCAGAGTGCCAGTGAAGATAAAAACAGGGTATAGTTGGCTTAAGTAACATGGCGTCTTAGTGATCCTGGTGATAATGGAGATGGGATGATGATAGTGCATGAATGAATTGCTGAACAGAAAGGATGAGTGGTGGGAGTGTCTGGAGTGCTCCTGCTTGGCTGAGGTATTCAATCCAATGTCGTTAATGCCAGGAGATGAAAAAAAGGCTAATGTTACAGTATTTACATCCCAGTAATGCATGTCTATCTTGAGTATATCGATATTGTGAAGCATTTTCCCTCATTTAGTAGTAACTACTTCTAAATCAGCAGTTATACTGGCTTTATATTTTGGACAACAGGAGAGAATAAACAACTATTGTTCAAAAAAAAACCTCAAACAAAACAACACTAGATGCACAGCATTCCTGGAAAGGATAAAGCTTGTGGATTGTACTACATTTGTGATATTTTCACCAGCAGGAGTGCTTTGATGCATGGCAACCAAATAATTTAGAAAAAAACCGCCTAGGTGTAGCTTCTGAAACAGGATTGTTGTAAACTGAAAACATTTATGGCTGCTTTTCTAATTCCAACATGAGTATTTAAGCAAAAGGCACTTCAATAAAATCCCTGTTGAAAGCATGATTTACCTCTAGGCACAAAATTCTAAATATATAAGAATCAACAGGACAAGCAGTATAATGTTATATGTTAATGGTAGTTTACTAACGTAAAACTTGAATTTTCATCTTTTTCTTTTTTTTTTTTTGGTGTGTGTATGACGTGAAATTTTGCTGTTACATCTCTGAAAATAATTAAATTTGATTAATGGAAATACTTAGTCTTACATATGTTGCTAAAAGCATTTTATTTTAGTTATAATTATACTATAATTGAAGCTGCCACAAATCTTTGCAATTTAAATGAACAGTCAGAAGACCTAGAATGCAACAATTATCAACTTCTGGTGGCAATAATTAATGTACTTTAGCAACAGAGATAGGTTCACAGTATAAACTATTTCTCTCTGAAGATCTGAAGCAAAGTTCAGGAAGTGTCACAAACCAGTAAAGCGTTTAACATCTTCAAGGAAGGGCTTTGGTGTTTCTAAAGTAGGACTTTGCTGTCACACACAATTACTTTAAAGCTTGCAGAGTCTGTGGATTCCCTCCCTGGCATATTTACAGGTGGACTCTAGTTTTGCAAAGGTCTTGAGGAACATCAAAGAAGGCAGTGCAAGCTCAGTTTCAGATCAACTCCTTTTGGGTTCAGGGCAGATTTTAGAAATGTCATTTAAATTATATCTGAGTTTTGGATAATCAGGAGCCAAGAAACTGGGATTCACCTTTGCCTTTCCTATATGGTAGAATATATGATCACATGTTCAAGACAGATGCCATGATGGGAAAATGAGCATGCATTTATACTGTTTCCACATTCACTAGAACTTATAATGGCTGATGCAGGATAAAACAAGAGACCAAAAAAGACTTTGTGTAATCATTGTAAGAATCATGTAATAAAAACCTTGCTTCTGAAAGCGTGAATTGTTTCGACAATATATAGCAAACATGTTTGGTGATATAAAGCAAAAGCACAACTAAGTTTTATCAACTTTACACAAAGTCAGATATCTGAAAGGGGATCTTTTAAAAAAAACCTTTATTTGAGAAATGAAGAGACTTATATCAGAAGGCAAAAAAAGGGAACATACAAACAGAATATATTTACAACACAAAACAAGAGATCACCTCTAAGGGTGTAAATTATAATAAATACAGTAGATTTAAAATGTAAGAGACAATTATCAATTAGAAATGTGGTTGTTTAAACCCAGTTTTCCTTTTCACTGGTTCCAGGTATTTTCTCAATTTTATCCAAATTTGAAAGACTCTGAAATTAAAGTTCATGAATGTATTGGGACTTCTCATCTGAATGACATTATAAAAATATCTTTTGTCCTTTGTGAATAGGTGTCTCTAAAGTGATATTGTACAAAAGTCTTATAATTTGCAAGTTTCTCCCCAAATAAAACACATTTTAAAAGATGCACTATCCCTTTTTGATGAAGCTGAATTTAGGTTTCAAACAAAAAAATAATTATTCAGAATGGGAAAAACATTTCATTTTTATATGCTTCACTTTTTCAACATGATTTTTTTCATCCAATAAGGAGAGAGTTTTCTGTTATAATTTTCTCAATTTATAAAACTTTCCTATCTGAGATTATCTTTACTTTTCAGGAGGCCTTTTATTTTATATAAACTATTTAGTCATTTGTTTGGAGATCTTTTAGGAAAAAAGGATAATGTATCTTTAGACGTTGCAACATTTTTGAGAGAAGGGATTTAATAGTATTAGAGCATAATGTAAACAACACATCCTAATAACATTAGATTTTAGAACAATTTCTACATTTGGCAAAACAGCTATCTCTTTTGAAACAGGATACTGCACCTTGTAATACCTCAGCTTTAGAAATATAAATATTTTTAATAGAAAAAAAACCTGACAAGGATTTCAGGTCAGTTTTGGATTATCCATATTAAAGGGGATCTTAATACAATGAATCTTTAACTAGCTTAACAAAAGTAAACCTATAAAACAAGGTAAACATATCAAAAGGGAATATGAAGGAAATGTTTCACTGGAAAGCTTCCTTAACAATTTCCCTACTCGCTTTGTTATTTTCTTTGACAATAAATCAATTCATAGAGTGCCTTTAAAAACAGAGG